ATAAATTAACGTCCTTAAATTTCGAAACATTGAAGTTTTAAGCATTTATGAAATTTACCGTTATATGAAAAGCTCCGTAATTTTAGCCCGATTTCAATAATTTTCAACGGTTTGCTTTTATGTGGCAAGCACAATAACCATACCGAGTTTGGTAAAAATTGGTAGAACGGTTACCTAGACACATATTTGTGATCATAAGTGGGCGGTGCTACGCCCGTTTTCCAAAATTTTTTTATAAACGTATTTCTTGGTAAAGAATTGTAGCAAACATCAATTTTGAATAAATTAGCTTTTATATTTACCGATTTATAAAAGATTTCGTATTTTACTAAATTACCGTTATGTGGGATGTGAGCGTGGTTATTGGCCGATTTTAAAAAATTCTCTGCCATTTGGTGTGCCGTACCAAGGCCAACAACTGTGCCAAGTTTGGAAGAAATTGGTGGAGCAGTTACCAAAATATACACATGTAACATCATAATATTATTATTTTTCGTCTAAAAATTATTGTAAATATCAATTTTGAGTGAATAATCTTCAGTAGTTACTAAAATATCGCAGTTTTCGTATTTCTGAAAATTACTGTTATATGGGATGTAGACGTGGTTATTACCCGAGTTTGCCCATTTTCAATACCATCCGTCCTACGCCCGAAAGACGTGCACGTACCAAGTTTCGTGAAATATCTCAATTTTTACTAGAGTTATCGTGTGCACAGACGGACGGACGGATGGACAGACAGTCACCGCTTAATCGATTTCTCTTTTCATTCTGATCATCTATGTATACATTTGTCTATATCTATCTGGATTCTTTTTGCCTGTTACAAACAACCGTTGTGTGAACAAAGTTATAATACCCTTGTGCACAAGTGCGCTCGGGTATAAAAACACTTTATATAGACTATCCTTTATAACTAAGGGCTCCCATAGAGAACGTTTTATGGAAAATTAAGACACAAACGGAAGATTTTTTTAAGAGAAGGCGCGCGGACCAGGGATTGAACTTGAGTCCTACCGAGGGTTAGTACGCGTCTCCAACCTCTTGGCTGCGGTGCCTGTTTTGATAAAACATTCGATGAAAATAATTACGAATCAGCTAAGTGGAAAGGAGTCTGACAAATAATGTAGAGTCTTGAAGAACTGAGTAAGGAGGTTTTTCTATTAAAGTACGTAGTTACTCTAAGTTTATCTGAATTCGCATTCATAAATCTTCCACGAATGTGCTATTTTGTAATCACTTATAGATCCTACGCATGTACTTATGACGTTATTTAATTTGAAAGCAGAAAAATTGTATGCCATAATTTGTTGGTTCAGCTGCTAACGTCATTAAATAATTTTGCTACTTCAAGTTTGCTTTAAGTGCTGACCGCGCTTGATGATACCATTGTCTTATATTTTACATAGTTTATTTATAATTTATATTTTTAAACGCGTATTAACGTGTGTGTATGTAGCTGGCTGCTTTCCGTGAACTTATTCAACTCATTCTTTTGCACTTCAAGTTCAATTATTCCATTCGATTTGTCTGATCTAAACAACTATAAATATAAATTTTTTGACGTCTGAGTAAGTAACCATTATTAAAAGTAGTATCCGCAAAGTGATAAGGGTAAAACCGAAATACTACTGCCAGCAAACTTAGAAAATGAATCATATAATGGTGAACTTGATATTAAATTTATTGCATTATTCTTTTGGAAAATTTAGACAAACCCTGACAACTCTTAGTTACATATGTATGTATGTTTGTTCTTTAATATTGGTCAAAAGTGTGCCCTTCCTCAGGCTAAAATTTCTTAATAAAAAGTGCAGCTCTTATTCGTAAAAACTTTGTACTCACATACATATATAAAAAGCTGTATACTTTTTTGTTAACTTTCTAATTCCTATGCATATATTATTTTTCTAATTGAATCTAAAAATATTTTTTATAGAAACGGTTCAGGATCGGACTTTATTTGTGCTTTGCTTTCCTGGCTATCGCTCAATTACTACCCGCCGAAGAAACCAACGCATCTCCTGAGTACCTGCCTCCAGTCGATGATAATTCTACTCCTCTCGCTGAAGATGGCTACCGTTACAAGGCCGTGAAACGTCTGAAATACCGTCATCGCCGTGATGTTGCCTCGGATGAATATTTATCACCAGTTGCAGTTGGACCACCTGGCGAATATTTGCCACCAGAAGATGTCACTCTTGTTGCCGATGATGGTTACCGCTACAAGACCGTACGTCGTCTCAAATTCCAGGCCCGTCATCGTCGAGATGTTTCCGAATTGAATTCATTTCCATCAGCTGAAAACTTACCTACAATTGATGTTGAATTTGCGCCAGAATTTAAAAATATTTTGGGTGATAATGGTTGCCTTTATAGGACTGTGCGCCGCCTGAAGTTCCGTCGCCATCGTCGTGATGCTAAACCCGTTGAAGAACCTGCTGTTGTCGATATTCCCAGTGATAAATATCTGCCCCCAAGCAATGATGCTACCGAAGAGCCAGAAGTGAAAACCGCTGTTTTGTCGCAAGATGGTTACCGTTATAAGACTGTGCGCCGCTTCAGGTATCGCCACCGTCAATAAAATGAATCAATACTTTAAGTAAAAGTAGATACATACCGTTTGGTTTAGCTAAATGAGCGTACATATGTATGCGTTTACGGATCGGAGAAAAGTTCACTTAGACTGCTGTAATTTGATTGTTTCGTATGTGTTCCTTATTACTAAGTTTAAGTTTAATTATGCAATGAAAGAATAATAAAATATATTCAACAAAGAAATGCTTTTCATTTGCATCATTAAGGCTCAAAACTTTTATAACTCATTTAATTGTGAGAAATTAATGCGAATTTTTCTATGCTATTGCATTTTTGCCTTCACAAATCCTTGAAAAGTTTGAAGCGCATTCAAAGTGTTTTTCGTACAACATTATTTACTGCGAATGGTTAGAAAATACACAATGACACAGTTTTACCCTACCAACAAGATGTGCATCAATAAACTGTAATTTCGCAATAGTGCTCAAAGAAAAAAAAAACCAAAAAAGTTTTTTAAGTTACAAGTTACGAAAAATTTGCCTTTCATGGCCTCAAAAGATATCTTCTGTAGTATATAGGTATATAGTTACCGTGACCATAAATATGAACTGTAAATGCAGGACAATTTTTAAAAAATATACACTTGGGGTCAACTGACTAAGTCAAGTAATATTTTGACCAGTTTTGGCTGTTTCCGTTAGTCTATTTAATCTTTATATTTTTTTTTATAAAAGCTGAGCACTTTACCTAACCAGGTCCACATAAATTCACATTTCAAGGTTCGGTTAGGTAAGGTAAAGCGGGCGGCTCGGAGAAGACTTCACTCGGAGGCCACAAAAGCCCATTGCATGTTTTTGAACTATTTCGATTCTCTGGCGAATCCAAGCAGTCCTTCGAATGGAGCTTTCGCTGAGGTATCCAGGCTCTCGAATAAATGGTGCCGAAGAAACTTGAGGCATTTTCTTCGGAGTGATGGACACTCACAAAGGAAGTGCTGGACGGATTCTACCTCCTTCTCATCTCTAAAGATTCTACAGAAATCGTTATGCGGTGCTCCGAGCTTGGCGGCCATATGGTCCAGTGTCCCGTTAGTATTCCTGTGAGAAGCTTAACGTTTGGCTGTGACAACCTTAATAAACTTCTTGTTCTTCGTTCGTCGAGCCGTGGCCAGAGCGAGCGCGATACTATGCAGGTGTGCAGATTTTCCCACCTGCTGCTGATGGCTGCCTTGGTCACCTTCTCGACCTCCGAAAACAGAAATCACAGGGGAGGTTTCATGATCTGTATCGCTTCCCCTAGCCCCATTTCGGGTCCCTTTCTAGCACATTCGTCCGCTTCTTCATATCCTGGGACACCGTTGTGCGACGGGACCCAGTAAAGGTTGATTATGTGTTGCTGTAGAGCTTTTGGGGAATTTCGGCATTCCTTAACACATATCGAGTTGGTCGTTTGCGACTCTAAGGCTTTGAAAGCTGCTTGACTGTCAACCAGCCTTGCCGCCATGTCGATTGCATATATCTCAGCCTGAAACAAATTGCAGTGATCCGGGAGTCTATAAGACTCTCTCAGAGATAACTACTGAGAGAAAACTACAGATCCTGTTCCGACATCCATTTTGGAGCCGTCCGTGAAAATGGGTATTTCGTCATCGCTAAGAGCAATACTAAGTTCCCAGTCACTTCTGTCTGGAAAAGGGACATTGAAATCCGATTGAAGTCAGTTTCCGTGAGTTGGTAGTCACAGCTAATGTACTCCACCCCCACTCTCTCGAGAATTGTGGCGTGACCCGTGCAAGTTGTTCGCAGCCTGTTAGACGCCCTGAGTCGTAGAGCGCTTTTAGCTGCGGTACTTTTAACGTATAGGTCTATGGGTGGAATTTCCAGGAGTATCTCTAGCGCCACCTGGGGCGTTGAGTAAGTCGCCCCGTTATGCGTAAGCATGTCTGTCGTTGCACCTTTTGCAGATTAAGTAGATGGGTTTTGGTGTCAACCGCCCGTCACCATACCAGCGCACCATAGCACAGTGGTACCGCTCTCGAAGGAAGGCGGTCATAGAGGTTTTGTGAGCGATGAATCCGCGGTTTTTTGTCTCGTTGTTTTGGAAAAAATCCCTTTGATGAAAAGTGTATAGAAATGTGAGTTTTAAAATTTTTTATTTATGTTAAGTCAAATTACGACTGGATCATACAAACAATGCATACAAAAGTAACATAGTTTTAAGTGCATAATAAATCTAATACCTCTTTTGACAGCTCAGACTTGGATTTTCGCGGCAATTTTCGAAGGCTAGATATGTAAGGATCAGAATTAAGAAGTAATCTGTGCAAAAGGTCAGTATTGGTGAAAACACGAGAATTTTTTCTAGAGTTGAAACGTCGAAATTGCCTCACTAGCTTATTGCATGATTCGGCAGTTCCTTCGGAGAGCTCACCTCGGACCCATGGATTAAAACCTTATGAACAGATGGTGGTAAATTATACCACGGATATGCCCCAACTAGGTTTCTCACAACTTCAAATGCATAAATTTTAAATTTTTTAGTATCTATTTTATAACCCGACGAGAGGCACTGCAGGATGTGGTAACACTTGTCAATAAGAGCCTTATCTATTAAAGTAATTTCTGCTGAAATAGCAGAGTTTCGGAAAAATTTTCGAGCGGTATTGCCGTCGTTGGATGTGCCGCTGCCACCGCTTCGGGGCTTGTCCACAACCAAACCTAAACGATCCCCCAACTGTTGCTGCACGGTTTTCTTTCTTTGCGCTACAAGACCCTTATCTTCGTCTGAGCGACATTGCCATTTTTTAAATTAATTTTATAAGAAACGTGGATAAAATATTCAAAAAACCGAATCCACGAATGAAGTGGCGACAAGCCAAACTCATGGAGATGTCTACTGGTTGGCTTATAGATCGTTCAATGTCGTTCATCTCATTTGGTGTTGCTCCACAAATGTAACATCGATTGGTAGATAAACGCTAAGAGCAGAACAGATTTTTCCGTCAACCATTGATAGATGCAAAGAATGCTCCACAACTACTTCACGATTATGCAAAAGTTGGCAAATTTTAACCGAATTGGTCTACAAAACCTAGTAGAGGATGGCCGGGGATTCTTCCAAACAGTAATAGCTGAATCTGACATGCTAGATTTATAAACTAATTTAAGGGGAACATAAGATATAACAAATGTCCTCAATTTTTGAATCCGAACATTTTTGTTTATATTCCATGTGCCCGGTACTGCCATCAAAACCCCACTTACCAATTAGAACAAAATCATTATTTGCATCAACAACACCATCTTTCACGCTCTTTTGGGATTAAAAAATTCGAGAAGTAGTGTGGTCTAACAAAGACTGTAAATTAATTTCGGCAGAGCATTCTGTAACGCATTCCTCTAATGGATAACATCGTTACTTTGCTTCTAGCACTTTCTGATATGAGGGCAAAACATTTGTAAATTTAGAGTGTATTAACTCTTTTACAAGCAAGTACTGGTGTTTTGTCAATTTAGCCTCCGTAATTAGTGATACCATTTCGTCAGCGCTGAATTGTTCAGAAGAGGTGCTTGATAGGGCGGAATCAGTAATTATCGCATTGACGGCAGAAGTATCGACCTTTGATAGTTGAGCTAATCTGCGGCGGTTAGATCTCTTACTGCAGTCAGCAAATGGTTTTCTATGCAATTGCTTGCTTATTACCAGTGTTTGCAAATGTAAAAAGAGTGCAATTTTCATTTTCATTTAACCAATCGCAGTATTTTGTGATTAGTCTGGATCTTGATCTGTTAACTTGCGTCCAATATTTCAAAAACTTTCGGTAAAGGTAGAAAATGCAATTTTTCAAACTGTCAGTATTTACATTTTCGCCTGATGGCTTAGCTTGTGTCAGGGCTTCAAAAACTTTCCGTTTCCTTTCTTCTTGGCTTTTGACGCTTTGATAGGAGAGCCATTTATCCAATATAAACATTCGAGCAAAAGAACACTTATAACTCGATCCTAAAATAAATTAAAATAATGGTCAATAGTGCCAATTAAAAAAAGAAGTGAAACCTTGAAAACCTTTTTGAAATTGGGGGTTGTCGTATAATCTTTATGCATTACCCAGATATGCATTACCCAGAGGCAGCTAAACGCAGTTGGAAGGTTTTGATTTTGAAACTGGAGATCTATGCAAACATTTTGGTACTAATATCATGCGTGCAATTTGGTGCAAAAGTAATTAAACACTTTGATAAATCGGAAAAGGCAATTTTTTTATACTTTCTGCCGCTTATTTAAAATTATGTTTAAACTACTATTAAGACACTTTAAAGAAAAAATAAAATACTTGGAATATTCTACATACCTTCAGCTTTCAGCTCCATATCAAAAAAGTTCTGACAAGTAAATATTTTTGATCAAAATCTTCTCCGCGATTCACTTAAAATAATGCGTAGTTTTAGAAATAATAAGCACTTATGGAAAGTCTTCACTTTCGACGGTTGAAACGGAGCTTTAGCGTTACAAAATTATTATTTTTTCTATTCCCAGTTAGAGTGGCTTTTTGTTAGTAATTAGACAAGATATGGTATCAAAATGGCACATCAAAATTTTTTTTCGAATGACCTACTACGGTACCACTGTGCATAGGTGCGAATAGGTCTAGCCACCGCCGTATAAATCCAGTGTATTACTGCGGTCGCAGCCCCCAGTCTTTCCCGATCGTAGCTTTACAGGAGTAGAGCGCAATGAGCGCCGTTTATTACCGCTCTTCGGTATTCCTTTTCCAGGAAAGCGTAGAGTTGAGAATAACCCCCAAAAACTTCGCTTTTGTTGACAATTCAAGGCTTGATCCATTGTCTACTTTATAACGCTTGGTGAACAGAACAAGTTCGGTTTTGGAGGGGTTAACCCATAGGCAACGACCTTAGCGGCTTTCGATGTGCGGAGCAGGAGTTCGTTTAGCACGAGGTTTCACAAGAGGGGAGATAACACCGCCCCCTCCCGCCCTAAAAATGGCCGTTAGCCAGGGAGTTAACGTGGCACTTGCTCGTTGTAGCATGG